TAAATTATTTGGAACAAATTCGCGCCCAAGTTCCCGTTCAGAAACAAAAGAGGAATGATTTATACAACCTGCAAGTAGTATCGTAAAATTTAAGTCGCTGAACCACAGACTAGTAATACGTTTAACGTATTTGCTCGAAAGAGCATGAGCGGAAATGATGATGTCTAGATATAAAATGTTCCATGACCCTTTCAATCAGATTCAATACATTTTAGCTATTTTAAATCTTTCTTTGATTAAAATGAATTAAAATTAATTTAAATTAAATACATATTAAAAAGGTTACGCGCTCGAAAGAAAAACGTTATTCCACGACGAGAAGAGAACTAGGGCTTCAAGAAGCCGGAAAAGTTTTGTTAAAGTTTCCCTCATTTTGTCAAGATGCTGACTAGGAAGACTGCTTTAGTGTGTGATTAATCGGTGTGATAATTTTGCTTGTACAAGGATTGCGACCCCACCCCCTCCCCCGAGGTGGTTGAAAAGTGGGATGGGGGGCTTATATTATTAAATGAATTAATTGCTTTCAAACGAGATACAGGGAAGTTTTATAGAACTTANCCTAGTAACAAAGCCTCCGAGTCAATTGCAGTGAAATACTTTGCTTAACATGTGACAATTAATTAAGCGTAAACTCCTATCCGCACTCGTCTTTCGCATGGAAACATTACTTTAAACCCGGTTATGCATTATTTTTCTTTGTAGATCTAAATTATTTGGAACAAATTCGCGCCCAAGTTCCCGTTCAGAAACAAAAGAGGAATGATTTATACAAGCTGCAAGTAGTATCGTAAAATTTAAGTCGCTGAACCACAGACTAGTAATACGTTTAACGTATTTGCTCGAAAGAGCATGAGCGGAAATGATGATGTCTAGATATAAAATGTTCCATGTCCCTTTCAATCAGATTCAATACATTTTAGCTATTTTAAATCTTTCTTTGATTAAAATGAATTAAAATTGATTTAAATTAAATACATATTAAAAATTCCTAAAAGGTTACGCGCTCGAAAGAAAAACGTTATTCCACGACGAGAAGAGAACTAGGGCTTCAAGAAGCCGCAAAAGTTTTGTTAAAGTTTCCCTCATTTTGTCAAGATGCTGACTAGGAAGACTGCTTTAGTGTGTGATTAATCGGTGTGATAATTTTGCTTGTACAAGGATTACGACCCCACCCCCTCCCCCGAGGTGGTTGAAAAGTGGGATGGGGGGCTTATATTATTAAATGAATTAATTGCTTTCAAACGAGATACAGGGAAGTTTTATAGAACTTAGAAGTACTGAATAGTAAAGATTTTTATGCAGCGTTAACTTATTTCAAAATGAATGCAAAAAATTAAATGTTAAGGCGCGATAAAATAGCGGCAAATGCTCTATTTTTTATGTACGTTTGTTTTGGAGTTGTCGGTGAAAAAGAAGGGAACAGCTTGAAAAAGGAAAAAGAAACTTTTATATTTGTAAGTGAAAACTCCCTGAGACTTCATGATACACATCACCGAATACCGTCAACTTCCGTTTATAAGACCCCCTCCCCTAACTTATAAGCTCCCCCCCTTCCCCCGTTATCGGCCAATCTACTAGTCTCCCTCGCAGCCGTTTTTTGGATGTCACACAACGCTCCTCCAAAAGTTCTTTTGGGAGAGCGTTGCGTGACATCCAAAAAACGGCTGCGAGGGAGACTACCCATCTACCAGTAAACAAAAAATACATCCGGTTGTAAGCTTCCTCTATCTTTTATTAAATTAAATTCGATTTTTACGACGTTTTAAAGCTTAAAAATGCGAGTAAATTCAAAAGTATTTTGATCAGCACTGATATGTAGATTGTTTTGAAACGTTTTTGGATCAATTCAGGTTTCTGGGAAACTGTCCACCTATCAATCACCTAAGCTAACATTAACTCTACTTCTCACTTAGGGCAAAATGTTGGTTTAGGGGAGGGGTAGGTGGGCAGTTTCTCAGAAACCTAAATAGTCTAGTTTCGAATTAAAAATTACCGCTGAATACAAACATTAACGACACGTTCATACAGGGTTAGCCTCGACGTAAAGTAAAATATTCAGAAATTCCGGCAAGTAAGTTTTTGAAATTTGAATATACACAATAGACAGAGTAATAAACAGGACTTTTTCACGTTGGAATTTGTGAATATATTACTTCAGATGGAGGCTAAGGCTGTAAAAAATGCGTCTTCAGTTCTTTAATTCAGCGGTCATAGCGAACTCGAAACTGGACTATTGATCCACGCTTTTTTACTCCGGTTTTAAGCCCCCCGAATTTAAGCTCTCCCGTTATAAGCTCTCTTAAAACCCGTTTCGAAGTTGTATTGGCCTAGAACTTATTAGCGGCAGTTTACGGTACTTTGTTTTGGTTGACTTTATAGTACACCATCATTTGGTGTGTTTTAACAATAAAATGTAATCCCCGGATCTGATCTTTGTCCTCTTGGTAAAAGAGGTAATGTATTAGTGACAAAATAATCGTTTGTAATGTAAAATGATAAAACGGGATAACAAGTATTATAAAAAGGACTTAAAATTTAATACGCCAGCGTTAAGTATAAAGGACGAACGTCTTACGAAAGCCAGATAACTTTGCGAACCCAAAGGTGTCTTCAATTAGAATCTGTAGATGATTAAGTGCTTTTAGGTACGTAATTATTTTCAGCGCGCTGACTTCTAATAATGTCCTCTATCCTCTTGTTTACACATTTACACATACTCATTGGTTTAGACGACGTATCCAAAAAATGAAATTTTTCTTATATCCTACCCCATGGTGTTAGCATATAAATGAAACCTCTTCTGCAGTACTTTCACATGGTGCTATTAAATTTATTTAGTTTGTAGTTCTAACTTTTGAGTCTGTGGAGAAAAAACCTATGATGTCACCATTCAAACGAAACCTCTTTGGTAGACTTTTTACATGATACTATTTATTTTGTAAGGATTTTCCAAAAATAAAAATTTGAGTTTTTGTAAATTTTCTTCGACTTTGAGAAGTAAAAAAGTTAAACACTGTGGTTGGAACCTTTCGGAAGCGACGTCTGCACCTTTTCGAGGTTTTACTACATTAGAAACCCTAACTTTTTAAGCTTTAATTAAAACCATTATAAAATTAATATTATCTCCTAATTGTTACCAGTATTCAGTTGATGAAATATCCGAAGTTATTACTATCTGTTGAAACTCGTATGTGAACGTCAACATAAACAAAAGCATTCCTCCGCACATGCTCCACTCAGCAAGACTAGAGATCACGTGAAATAAATATCCGGGATCTTGAGGACCCCACTTGAGTTTGGCTAAAAAATGATATCGAGGCCGGGCCAAGGCCCACTCCAGGTTCGCTTTGGTCTGGAAAGCTGCGAATATCACCACGCACAGCGTTATCATTAGCGAGAGCATGGCTCTTGAATGGCATACCGCTGAGCTGTTGATGACACCGTGGTCTTTTAGCTTATACGACATTGCGCATTGTAACCAGCAGAATGTGAGACCGCTGATAAACGCCGTCATAGCACCGACGTCGTGGATCGACCAGTCCTTAAAAAAGGGAAACAACGTTAGTATTTTTGTACCTGGCTAGCAAAACGCAAGCCTTGTTTGCGTAATGTCAAGTGTCGTGTGTTTCATTACACTTGTTACCCGTGACGGTAGATGCCAAGTCATTGAGCCTCGCTTGCATTCCTTTATACAACAAAAGAATATTTGATTGCGGGCGCAACTGTAACAGCCGCCACTGGCTGAGAGCTATAGTGTATTTCATCATCGTTAGTGGAAATGGATGAATTATGGCGCAATTTTCCCCGTTGGGGCATTCTCACATTATATTCCCACAAACCTCTCCAGAATAAAGGGGTCAAACAATGTTAAATGACAGTTTTTTAAAGTGCGCGCTATTTTACACACTCGCCTGCGGTCCTTGGGCCTATTTGGTTGTTCTCACTGCATGTTGACGTCATCTGCGATCTCTAACTGAACAGAAACTAGGGAGAAATGACGTCAAAGTGTTTAAGACTCTGAAGTGAAATCCCTCCCCCACCCCCTTCGCCAAGCACATGGTTCCGTTTGCGTTTGGATTGGATACTTTTTAGAGTGATGTCATTTGCGATCTCTAACTGAACAAAGACTCTGGAGCAGTGAAGTCATAAAATGTTCAAGAATCTGAAGTGAAACTCTCCCCCACCCCCTCAGCGTACCGCTCATGGTTCCATTTACTTTGGTTTGGTTTCTTTACAGAGTAAAGAAACGGCAAATTTTAGTTTGGAAAATACCTTCTCAATTTCAAAATTAGCTACCAATGTCATTCCAAGTCCGGCTAAAATAGCCACCACGAACGCCAGTTTATTGAGACGATGAAGCTTGACATTGTCTTCCGGGTACTGCTCCGCCACGAGTTTATACTGCATAAAACGGACGAACGCATTGGAAATGAAAAGAAACGCCGATAGATTCGCCAACTCCCTGAAAACGTACTTTTCAGGAAATAAAACTCCAGTCTCGCTGATAGCGGGAAGAAACGGATAAATATGTCCATACGAAAGCGCTACACAGTACGATGAAACCACGGTAACTGAGCAACAGATGACCAGAAGAATACACAACCAGCCTAAACCACACCTTGGCCATTGTCTCCATGGCATTTCCTTAACTTTCCGAAGGCTGAGAAGAACCCGTTCTTGTTTAACACGACGGGTTGACGAGTTTACAATTTGTAGTCTTACCGCACGCCCTGTAGCGGTCGCCAGTCGCCCTGAACGAAAGACTTTCGGCGTCTCACGGGCCTGAAAGTAGATATTTTGTTGCTAACCTTCCATGACAAAGCAATTTTTTCTAATAATTTCTTTCCGCCTTTCCTTGGTCTGTTAATAACATTTTACCGCCGTCGAATGAAGATTGGTATAAATGTCAGCTACGCCGTGCTTGTGACCGGTACCAGAAGCACATGGGCTCTATTCTTCAAAACACGTTCTTTTCTCTCTTCTGATTTCGAAACGAACAATGAAAACTTTAGGAAAATCAGTGTCCTTGTCCGCCTGCAAGAAACAACACATTGAACAGCATCAGAAACTCATAAGGGGTTGAAAACCCCTTAAGAGTTTCTGACAGCATGGAATGCATTATTATGATTTTGAACCACTGAGATCACGGGAAAATATTACAAGCTTTTACATATTCGAGTATATACAGCACCCGTTTATGAGTGTTCATGCGTACTGTTGGCTAATTGTTTTGTTCAGTCCAGTTTCCTTTCTCTTAAAATACTACCATTAATTGTCGCCTGAAATTTCTTCCAATTAGCGATTTATCGTCGCCAGCGAGTGAAGAATACATGCTCCGTTACTATCAAATCGGTGATCCCTGGCTTTTCCCGCCAAATGGTCATCCGGTTTTTCGTCTAATTTCAATTTTCCATTAGGGTTCAGTGAGCCGTGATAAAGACCTGCCTCTGGGTCAGAGAATGTGCTTTGACATTTTTTTTCTTTTTATTTACAAGTTTCTTACGCCGTAGTCTTTTGTGGAAAGGACGAAGAAAGCGAAGTACTCATTTTTTTCCCTTAGTAGCGACAACCTGAAACTTTAAAGTAAGCTACATTGTAGGCACATGCGCATAAAGGTTTTCCTTAATAAAACGGACGAACGCATTGGAAATGAAAAGAAACGCCGATAGATTCGCCAACTCCCTGAAAACGTACTTTTCAGGAAATAAAACTCCAGTCTCGCTGATAGCGGGAAGAAACGGATAAATATGTCCATAAGAAAGCGCTACACAGTACGATGAAACCACGGTAACTGAGCAACAGATGACTAGAAGAATGCACAACCAGCCTAAACCACACCTTGGCCATTGTCTCCATGGCATTTCCTTAACTTTCCGAAGGCTAAGAAGAACCCGTTCTTGGTTATAACACGACGGGTTGACGAGTTTACAATTTGTAGTCTTACCGCACGCCCGTAGCGGTCGCCAGTCGCCCTGAAAGAAAGACTTTCGGCGTCTCACGGGCCTGAAAGTAGAAATTTTGTTGCTAACCTTCCATGACAAAGCAATTTTTTATAATAATTTCTTTCCGCCTTTCCTTGGTTTGTTAATAACATTTTACCGCCGTCGAATGAAGATTGGTATAAATGTCAGCTACGCCGCGCTTGTGACCGGTACCAGAAGCACATGGGCTCTATTCTTCAAAACACGTTCTTTTCTCTCTTCTGATTTCGAAACAAACAATGAAAACTTCAGGAAAATCAGTGTCCTTATCCGCCTGCAAAGAACAACACATTGAACAGCTTGGAATGCATTATTATGATTTTGAACCAGTGAGATCACGGGAAAATATTACAAGCTTTTACATATTCGAGTATATACAGCACCCGTTTATGAGTGTTCATGCGTTCTGTTGGCATATTGTTTTGTTCAGTCCAGTTTCCTTTCTCTTAAAATACTACCATTAATTGTCGCCTGAAATTTCTTCCAATCAGCGATTTATCGTCGCCAGCGAGTGAAGAATACATGCTCCGTTACTATCAAACCGGTCATCCCTGGCTTTTCCCGCCAAATGGTCATCCGGTTTTTCGTCTAATTTCAATTTTCCATTAGGGTTCAGTGAGCCGTGATAAAGACCTGCCTCTGGGTCAGAGAATGTGCTTTAACATTTTTTTTTCTTTTTATTTACAAGTTTCTTACTCGGTAGTCTTTTGTGGAAAGGACGAAGAAAGCGAAGTACTCATTTTTTTTCCCTTAGTAGCGACAACCTGAAACTTTAAAGTAAGCTACATTGTAGGCACATGCGCATAAAGGTTTTCCTTTCTCATCGTCTGACCAACCCATGCTTTTTATAAAGGGAAGAACAAGATAATTCCTTCAGTTACTCCAAGAACACTCTGGCGACCTGTCTCCTCTTGAAGCTGGCGTATATATACTTCGCCTTTTTTCTGAAAGTGAACGTAACTACTACCTTTTTATAGACGGTTTTCATGTGCGAATCCCGTTACAGCATCTTCTTTCCCTGGTCCACCTTGTTGATTTTAGTGGTTGGCCGAGAGAGTCTGGTGCAGTAAATCCCAATACTCACTTCTGAAAACTTCTGAACAGACTGAACATATACTTCCGTGTCAGTGGCTTCTAGTCCTCGCTCCTACTTTCTTACTTCCGCTATTGTCCGAATACCTCAAGCACACTGCGACAAAGAGTTCCGAAACCTAACCGATATGTGACAGTCCACTTTCGAGATCGGCTCGTCGCAGCTTTCCTCAGTTACGGAAATTGAGCCGAAATCATCGTTACGTTAGGCCCGTTTGAAACGTCGTGCTACCGCCGTGCTAAGCTACAGTCTAAGCTGGCTCGACTGTAACTCGACTGCAGCACGACACTAGCACGACTTGGTTTCAGACGTCGAATTTAATTCAGTCGAATAGAACGGCTGTTGCCGAAAACGAAACACAAAAATAAAGAAACGATTTAGCAAACTTTTAAATGTATTTGAATGTATTTAAAATTTATGAATTGAGTTCGGCACGGCAGTAGCGCCACGTTTGAAACCAAGACGAGCTACTGCCATGTAGCACGACTTGGTTTCAAACGTCGCGCTACCGCCGTGCTGAAGTCGAATTTAATTCGATCTATTTATTTCGGCATGGCAGTAGCACGACGTTTTAAATGGGCCTAATGTTTGAAAAGAATCCCTGTCGGATATGGTTTGCGTTTTCACCCAAGAGCTATCCCTTATAGTTTAAGTATAGCCCAGAAATGGAGTCTTTACGGCACTACCCCTAGCCTGTTCCAGGCGTTCAGATAGTGGGGAGCGGTGCGTAGTAAAAAGGAGCGCGAAAAAATAAAAGCGAGGGAGGGGGAGAGGTGAGAGAGGGTTCCCGCACCTCTCTCCCCCGTCCTCCTCTACTTTTCATCGCTTTCTTTACTTTGCTCCGCTCTCCACTATCTGAACGCTTGGAACAGGCTACACTCCCCCCGGCAGGATTCTTATAAAAGAAAGACGTGGAAACTAAAGACGGAGAAGAATGGTTGTGAAGGTAAGATGATTTATTTTATTATATTATATAGACACGAGTGTTTTACTGGAAAATATACCAGTTGTAAAATTCATAAAAACTACATCCGGGACCCGAGTGGTTTATTTTCCATAATCTCACACGCGAGTTTATCAATAACGTAATTTCGGTAATTTCCCTCTATTTTTTTATCGATGTCTTTTTGTCCATATAATAAAAAGTACATTACGCGGCGGCTTGAAGATATGAATTTTATTTGCTCGTGGCAAAAACAATATTTTACGAACGAGCGCAGCGAGTGAGTAAAATATTGTTTTGCTACTCGAAAATAAAATTCGTATCTTCACGCCACCGTGTAATATCCTCTATTTATTATTTATAAAAATTTTGTGATTAGATATCTGTTTGCCCCATTCGACTTATCATGTTTCTTTCCCATGCTAGAACAAAATTTTAACATTCCCAAAATTTTAAACGCGTACAAACTAACGGAGCTGTCCACATGAGAACGATGGTTCTATAATACCCGGCGTCAACTCTCTGGAGACTGTTTATGAAAACATATTTTTACAGAAGCTACATGTGCGCATATAGTTGCGTTTACGCTTCGACAAAAAGACTCGTCTGCAATGTAAGCCTTAAAGAAATATAAAAAAGAGTTAACGACAGTGAGTTGACAACTGTATGAATTCTAACATGATGTTATGGTCGTCTAGTCACTGCTATTGTTCATACCATTATGACTGAAATTCCAAGTAAACAATCGAAAATCAAAATGGGAATCGTCGATGACACAAAGCGCGAAACAGACCAAGGAATGCCTTAGCAACGAAAGATATTTCATTGGAATGACCGGAAGACGAAAAGACTGATTCTGAATAAATTAGATTGATGATGTCGATCGTACAAGATCAAATCGCCAGCATACGCCACTGAAGTAAGCCAGATCAGTCTCTCATGTGAACCTTGCTCCGGGCGGTATTTGATTACAGAAAACCAGTTTAAATCACCGACATTCAATTTACGTGAGTAATTTTTGCGTTAAGTTGATCAGTACTATCTCGGATTATCTGTGGACTTTTTTATTGATGATTATCGAGAATTTAACGTGGCATAATTACTAAAACACACCAACTACGGTGAATCGAACTTATTACATATTTCAAAAACTTGTAGTTTCAAATGTAGTTTACAAAAAGACAGTCAAAATGAGAATAGGCTTATATCATTATTTGTCACAAAAGACTTTTTAAACTTTGAGCTACTGCCTCTACCTTAGTAAGTAAAAACAGGATGGTCTACTTCGACTTATCTGACTTACCTAAGCTCTAGTATTAATTTCTTCGGCTTCCGCGCAAGTTTGGTTTTTTAAAGTTTCTATGAAATCTATTGTTAAACTTTAAATGCCCTTGTGGATGAATCTTCATTATCAGATTATTAGTTTCATTATTTCTACTTCATTTTTAAAAAACAAAAAATAAATCACCGCATGGCTATGAAAATATTTGTCTATCGTACGCGAACATTAGCTTCACGTGCCGGGCTAAAAACATTTATAAAGTCTCCCACGGTTGCTTTGTCAAAATGATTTCGCATGTTGGACGTGTAAAGAAATGTCTGGTCAAGAAATCTTTAGTAAATCACCCTACTGAAAAAATGCTGACAATCGTCGACTGATTGAATTGGCATTGAGTTATTGTTTTCACTCTCAGTGCAAAGGAGCCGGACAATCTGCGAGCGAGCGAGCCATGGGAAAAATAAAGTTTAATGAAATTGCAATTACATGAAAAATATTTCGCTCTTAGTTCCCTGTGGGTATATGAGGTTGTGCTGCTGGAATATTGGCAGAATTACGTAGTCTTCATCGACTTTCACTGATTAGGGTTGAGCGCTCATTTTACTGACTGGATTTGGGTTAAGCACTGTTCAGGTTTAAACACTTATTTACAACAGTTAGCTTTCAGTTAATTTTTCCGTATAACTGCTTTTTCGATTTTTTTGTAATTTTCGTTTTTGGCTTGATCTACTCAGATAACTACATTACGTGGAATTAGATTTGCATGTAAATGAGGTGGCTGGTGAGAAATTTGTTGGAGTTTGAAAGAACTGGTTTTTACAACGGCCGCTCCGTTTTAGGACGCTAGCATAGACGGTTTTCTCCATGAAATTTTTTTGATGTTTTTGAATAGGTAATTCGAGAGCAAGCCAAACAATATCGATGAAGAGAAAATGAGATGGATAGTCAAGGTAAGAAAAACCGACGGTATAAAATTTATATTAGGGAGCTATAGCAACGGCCACGGCCACGGCAACAAGAATAACAAAAGGCAATAGGCTCAATCAGAAACTCATAAGGGCCTGAAACGTGTCACGCGCGTTCAATGCTCGTGGATATTCATTTTTCAGTTCTAAGTACCATATTTGAAAACCCTCGCTGCGGCCTCAAAAAAGCAATAGGTTTAACAAGAACTTTGCACGTGCATCACGCTTTTTTTGTACATTTCTTGACCGTCACTGCACGACTTCGACATGTAAGTGCCCTTTTATGGAGGGCGAAAACAATACGGCGACTTTCTTTTTCTTTTCCTGAACTTCAGTCTCTAGACGAACTGAACGAGAAGAAATCAGCGCGAGTAAGTTTGAAGCAGCCCGAATACACATTTTAAGGGACGTTTTTGTAGCTGTCGCCATCGTTGTTGCTTGAGTTCCGTCAGGTTCCCTCCCGACAACTCGGAGTAAAATGATGTCACGTCGTTTACGAAGTTTGATTGGTCAGTTATCTTTCGACCTCGTTCCAAATATAGTACTTGCGAAAACAAATATAGCCCTTATTCGCGATACCCGCCATTTTTGCACGCGCTCCAGGATTGATCGCGGTCGAGTTGTTTATCCTCTCAAAACAATAAGACTATTTTAATTTGCAAAATGTACAGTTCAAGTTTCTGGTTATTATTTCTTGCTGTGAGGACCTCTACCGTCGCTACTGCATTAAGAAAAGTGACAACGATCACTTCTACCTAAAACTTGCCATTGTCTTTAAGGTAAAAAGTCCCTCATTTTCTGTTGCCTTAAATAAACAAACACAACCGCAATTTCTCGTATTGGCAGATTTTATCACTTGTTTGCTCTCCTGAGAAACCACGTGACGTCACTTTTATCCCATCAGTCCTTATGCGCATGCAAAAATGGCGGGCATCGTGAATGAGGTCTATTCACGAGCATCAAACAAAGCAACGACAGTTACACGTTTCAGCCCCTTATGAGTTTCTGGTTCAATATAAAGCAAAACAACAACTCTGCACGTGTATCACGCTTTTTTGTGCATTCTTTTTGCCGTCGTTACAGGACGTGAACACGAGACAACGATTTTTCTTTTTCTTAAAAGGTACAAGCCTTTACGATTCAGCTCCAGAACAATTCGCCACCATTTGACAAATGGAACGAGATGGAATAAGAACGTAGAAGTTTGAAGCAGCGCGAATTCATTTTTTTGGGTAACGTTTTCGCTGCTGTCACTGTCGTTGATGCTAAAGCTCCTTAATAGCTCTTTCTTTCATGTCGAAATGAAAAGCTGTTGGGTATAGTGTGAGCTTACCGGTCGTTTCGATACAAGTTAATTCTTTAGAGGTGTAAATAGTTTCCAGTACTTGGCTTAAAGAACGAAGAATATTCACCCAAAATGTTTTTCTTCTTCAACTGCAAACTTTACTTGAAGTGATCGAAATTTTGTGCAATTTCACTGCTCGAGTTCCTATCGAAATGACTGTATCGTGATGACCGGTGTCCTAGTGTAGATATAGCTTCTAGCTTCCTGGAGGAGTAGTCATAAAGTGATTTGTAAACTTTTGGCGCTAAACAGTTTTTTTGTTAGTTTGTCATGTGACCTCACGCGCTGTGGGGGGATGCCACTTTTTAACAAATTTTGATTTTATTTAGTTTCAAATCACTCTCTTTACTTTGCATGTTTTTGCGTCTTTCAGTTAAAATTGTGTTTCTTCGACAAGAGAGCCGTCAAGGAGTCTTATGTAAAGATGGTTGTATTAATTCTGGTTGCCGGAATAACGCTACATTTCAATTGGAGTAATGACCTTGTCGGTGAGTGTTTAAACGTTTGCTAAAGCTTTGGAAACTCCCTTTGTTATGTTAAGTTCTTAAAGGGCAAGAAAGAAAAAAAAGGTTTTGTTTTCATAATAGTACATCATTTAGCTTAAGCAGTACAGCGTTGTAAACTTAAAAGCGAAATATAGGAAAAATTGACGTTATCATGCACTGCTTACCTCAACGTTGATACTCGTCAAGGAAATTTCAACGGTATTTAGTAATCTACACTTGACTTCGCTAGCTCCCAACTTGTGCCGCTTTCTTTCCAGATTTCGTTTAGCCTACTAGCTGTCGGGATCGTCAAATCAGTGCGCACATTGAGGCGGGCTAGATTCCATTGGGATCGAAGTCTTAAGATTCCGCGCATCTGTAGATCTACAAGGGTTCCTGTTCTGCACAATTAAGATTGTTTTATTAATTATCTAGCCTCGATTACCAGCCGCTGTTCTGAAAAATGAATCCGCCCGCCCGCGCTCATTTCCCCTGAGACCGAAGGGAAACGGCGGGAATAGAGCCTGTGCTTTTCCTGTTTATTCCTCTTTTTGTTTAAACGTTCGCTGGGCCGAATCGTCGCTCCCCTCTATCCCCCACGCAGCGATAGCTCACTTTTGTGCCTTTAAGCATTTTGCAAATGGACGCAACAATGTTGGGAGTTGTTGCGTCCGTTTGCACGTAGCTAAAAGTTTGGCCGGTTTCAAACTTTGCGCAACAACTCCCACCAACTCGCAACAACATGCAACAGGGTGTGCAAAGGGACACAACATGTAAAATCCAAAAATGTTGCCGCGTCCGTTTGCACGGGGCTTTACGTAGCTCTACGTAGCTCCCACGGGGCCTGCGCTCTCACTGCATTGCATGCTTTCATATTTTGCGTGCTCCTTTATTTCCTTTATACTACTTTACTGACACTTAACATCAGCCTTTTTAATCGTCGTGGCTCTCTCTTTTAAGGTATGAACTGCAAATCAAGCTGCAGTGAAGACGACGTTTTGTCTTGTTCGCAAAATGGAGCGGAAGTAATCACGAAATCAAGTGTTAGGGAAATAGGGAAACCAATCAGAAGAAAAGGTAACATTGAACAAACAAACTGTCCTGGAAATCAAGAATAGTTCCGAAAAAATATGACAACTTTAGTCCCTGGACCAAGATACAGCTTTCGGCTGCTTCTGTAGCCCTGATCACTCTCTAACCGCGCCCACCTGGCGAGGTTTTAAAGATTAGGAGCCCTTTACAGCCTGGCAGGTGTGCGAAAATGACCTCCCTCTAAGATTAAGTTTCGAATGGAAGTTTCCAGGGAGTTAAATCTCAATGTTTGTTCAAATGACCGCTACGGAGCAGTATCGAAGCAGTATCAGCAGGTGCTTCTAACTTTTGAGTCTGTGGATGAAATCCTAAAGTGTGACCATTCAAATGAAAGCTACTGAGCAGTACTTTCCTTTGGTACTGTTTATTATGCTGTTCAAGGTGGTTCTAACTTTTGCGTCTGTTGATGAAATCCTAAAGTGTGACCATACAAATGGAAGCTACTAAGCAGTACTCCCCTGTGGTACTGTTTATTGTGCTGTACAAGGTGGTTCTAACTTTTGATTCTGTGGATGAAATCCTAAAGTGTGACCATTCAACTGAAAGCTACTGAGCAGTGCTTTCCTGTGGTACTGTTCATTTTGCTGTACAGGGTGGTTCTAACTTTTGAGTCTATGGATGAGATCCTCAAGTCTAACCATTCAAATGGAAGCTACCCACCACATACCCATCCAGCCACCCAATGAAATAACGGACGAATGTTTTCAATGGCTTCTCGTATGGGCTGATACTTGCAATCTAAAGCCATGCTTTCATAAAATTTTCTATGTTGCTACCATACGTCTTTGTTTCAATTCCGTGATGAACAATTTTCTTTCCAGGTTTTTTAACGATAGGAATTCCAACAGTTCAACGGGTTTTCAAAAACAAAACTGCAAGTTATCTGGTAGAAACCTTAAATTCGCTCTTGGCTGGTATCTCCGAGGAAGATCTTGCAGACCTGTTGATCGTCATTTTTCTGGCTGACACCGAAGAAGCACCGCGAGAAGAAGTTAAAAGTGTACTACGGTTAAAGTTTATGAAGTATTTGGACATGAATTTAATTCATGTGATTGCTGCTCCGGCTTCCTTTTATCCTCAGCTAGAGGGCCTAACACAAACGCTAAATGACAGCCCCGAGCGAATCTACTGGCGCTCAAAGCAAAGCATGGACTATGCATTTATATTTCACTATTGCCAAGGGCTTTCTCAGTATTATTTACATCTGGAAGATGATGTCACAGCTGAACCAAATTATATGACGCAAATACGGGATTTCATTGCCCGCCAAGGCGACGCAAAGTGGGATGTATTGGCATTCAGTGGATGGGGCTTTATTGGGAAGCTTTTTCAGGACAAAGATCTGCGCAAATTTGCTCGATATATCACAATGTTTTATAACGAAATGCCAGTCGATTGGTTGTTATATCTCTATGCAAATCTACAAGCCGGACAGGGCATATTAGGCGATAAGGAACACAACTGGGATTCAGAACTCTTTCATCACATAGGTCACCAGTCTTCCTCTCTCGGTACCTGAAAAAGTCACCAGTCTTGTTTCTTTTAAACGTGAATGTCACATCGGTCACCAGACTTCCTCCCTCGATACCTAAAGTAGTCACCAGTCTTCTTTCTTTAAAAGGGCAAAATCATATCGGTCACCAGTCTTCCTCACTCGATACTTAAAGTAATCACCAGTCTTATTCTTTAAAACGTTATTAGAATATATTTATTATTGTTTCGTTTAAAAAATGCTTAAGTAATACCTTCAACAGTATTCAAGCAGTACCTAAAGCAGTGAGCGGTATTCTACTTACAGTCAGGCAGAATTTTCCATACAATTTCTGCTTGATTACAGCATCGAAAGACCCTTGAAACGAGGCTGGATCCAACCTCGTCCCCTGGGGCATCTCCGTTTTCAAAATGGCGTCGGGAGATTCTCTCCTGTGTACAAGGTTGAGTTGGATCGACCGTTCCCTTTAAAAGTCGCTTTCTTGTTTTCTAATGGCGAGCGAAAACTAAGGAGGGTATAAATTTGCACTCTCCCCAGATCCTCTGGCAAGTCTTCACGGCTTCTCAAACTCGGTAGTGGCTTTCGAAAATGGCACAGAAGCATTTGTGTCTGTGAGAACTTTTGTTTAAACCTAAGTGCAATCTATTTTGACATTATGCATCTGTAATAAAGAAAAATACGATTATGTTATTGAACAGCCACTATAGTTAAACCGCCTTAAATGGTCCAGTAACTTGTCAAATAAACCAGCTGTCCTTGGCTCCGTAAGATCAGATTGAGGTCTCAACTCCACAGGCCTGATATAACTAATATTGGTTGTTAAATGACGCAACAACAGTTGTCCGTCATTTTGGGCTCTTTCCTCCCCGTACAGTAATCCTAAATTAAGTCCAGGCAATATTTCTGCTTTTTCGATCAAGTCAAGCATTCGTATAATGGTTGGAACCGCTATATCCATGTAAACTTGGTTCTTGTGAAAAACCACTGAGAGTTTCTCAAACGCACTGGCATACTCATTAGGAACGTAGAAAAGACTCGAAAAACAGCGGTAACACATGTTTATGCCACGGCCATTCCATAATAAGGCATTCAGCGAGTTTTCCACGTCCCAAGAATCTTCTTGTACCGTGTTATCAATTATTGAACGTCTATACGCGTCATTTAAGTAAATAACATCCTTAAAAGCCTGCTCGCAAGCTTTTAGCCCCCACGGTGTATACCACCAGATCCAGGACCCACGCGGTTGCTGGAACATGACTTGGTTACCAAGCTGATCTGCGCTTTTCCATATTCTGGATGTGTTGAAATCCGCAATGCTCCAAATGTTCAAAAAGAGATCATTCCTCATGAATAAATAACCTGTAAAACCTGGTTTTGTCCTCATTGCAGTACTCAGGCACTCATACGCAGTAACGCCATGCAGCATCTCAACAACGAGAAATGTATGTTCGAGGTTTTCGGTTGGTTTGACAGGGAAACAGTAAATGATATTTGGAAAATGTTTTCTATAAAGCTCTTCTAAATACGGTATAGAATCATGCAGCAATTCCACAAAGGCTATCACCAATAAAATATCCTCAAATTTGTCTCGCTTACAAGTCGTTTTGCTGATGTCTTTTTCCTCGAAACCATCTCGTTCTTCTCGTTTTTCGTCAATCAAAGTGTAGTAATCCATTTTTTCGACTCCTGGATTAACATAGAGGAGAAAGTAACCTGAAAAAGGAAAGACGAATCAACTTCTATCGCATTCTCTCACCTACTGATTAGCTGCCGTCATATTAAATCTCGCGACAACCCCATAAACAACTTCACCAGTCCGAAATTAATGTCTCCACGTGTTGTAAATTTTACACTTACGACGAATTACGTATGAATCCGTGAAGATAGTTCAGCCTTGTTATCTCTCACGATTTCGCCTTTTTTGACTGGTCCCCTGTTGCTCGCGATCGCGTTTTTTTCTGTCGTCCCCAGTCCCTGCTCCCCACTGAGCTCTAGGGTAAGCCTGTGGAGGAGGCAGACCCTACAATGAGCTATTCCCTCCCCTTCCCTTATGGCCTTGTTGCTTGTAAGCTAACTTCGGTTTTTCCAAGCGAATGCCATTCTGGAAAATGTTTATCTTTCCACGAACGCTTCGATAAATATTTAATGACCAAACGCTGAGTCAAGGCGATGATCTGACTGAGCATAGCAAAATACTCTTAGGTTATTGACCCCGTTCGGTAAACAAGTTCTTAAAAGACTTGTCCCCTGGTCCAATAACAGCAACTCTATACTAAACTGCTGGCTATTCAAATTCTTACCTCTTGTCATTATGTAGGCAACAGAACAGACAGACAAGATGACTAAGCCTAAAAAGCAAAAACGCAAACAACAGCGATTCGAAGCCATGTGCTTTCCAACATGGCGCCGTTTCTTGAACACCATAAGTTTTAAACCTCTATGCAGCAGATCGCATAACGTTTGAAACTTTTTTGGGCGCCTTTAAATAGGACTTTAGCCAAATAAATTTTCTTTTGTGCGATTCGCGGCGTTGTTCAAATGGTTGACCACCGCGCATGTCCAACGAACTGGTACCAGTTCGATATCGGTTTGACAATCATGGCGAATTAGACAACAAATTTATGGCAACACTACAAGTATTTTTGGGCTTAGTTCCATCCATTTCGAGAAAACGTATCACCAATTTGTCTTACCATGACAGACAATCTTCATAGTGTCCATATTTGAATTAAAATATCGCGCCAAACTCTAGTGGCATATTTTCACGTCCTACTTGGATTGGTTGAAACCTTTAGTTACCAGGGGCCCACTTCCCAAAAGATCCGTTCACCTTACGGGCCCAAAACCAAGTTGTAAAAAACAGAATCTAATGAATGGTCGTAGCGGAAGTTCTAATCTCCTAACCAGTCCATATTGGTTTGCAAACTGATAGCTTTTATAATTGTTCCCTAATTTTCAAATCCATTAAAACCTTAAACTTGAATGCAAATAAAACAGCACTTCGAACCCGGTAACAACCGGGACTTTCGCGAAACGGGACCCAGTACCCTAAGAAAATAACGGATAATTAAAAACCTCGTGGTAAAATGTAGAAGTGGTTTCATGTGAAATTTTGTAGGTTTGATTGCTTAGCTTGCCATAACAACTCTTCCGTCTTCTGATGCGTTGCAATTTGTTTTTGTCCCTTGAAAATCACCAGCTGAGATTGTTTATGTTTTGGAGTTTAAAAACTTGTCGTCAGCTTCATGGCAATTGAACACTTAACGGTATTTTGATTAAATTAAACGGTCGCATAAATTCATTTCCAGTGCAGCACCAGTTTTTTTATATTATTTTAATTTTTTGACTTTTGCAATGGTTTATTGTTTATCTTCTGATATAAACAAAATATCGAAGGAATACGCTCTTAGAGTCCTCGCATACCTGGGGTTCTTGCCACTATCTTCTGTTGTCCTTCTGGGAGTTGCACTCCAAAATGTCTTGAATTTAATTTTTAAACATCGAAACGACTCTTGAAAAAGTCTATTTGCGTTGTTTTAAGAATCATCTCTATTGTTCCACGTTCAATTAGAATGTCAAATGTTGGCGAATTTTCCTAGAGTTGAATTCTTAACGACAATTAAGAAAACCCTGTCTTGTATTTCGGTAAAATGTGTGATCAAGAAGTTTCAAGTCGTAGTCTTGCAGTCAAACCAAGAAATCTACTTGGGCCCGGTTCCCAAGAGGCCGATTAGCGTTAATCCAGGATTAAAATTTTGTTCCGTTTTTGTATTTTACCTTCCTGTGTATTGCTCAAGGTTAGCATTTTGTGTTATCATTATAGCTCATTATGGTATCTCAGAGTCGAGGCTCAACACTATTTTGTAAGCTTGAGTTGCATTTTATTAGACAAGAAAACCTTGCTTAAAATTTGGCTTAATCCTGGGTTAAACTTAACCATCTTTCGAGGCACTGGGCCCTGCTGACATTTTGATGCACGTGCAGAGTTGTTATTTTGCTTTGACACTATAGAGCCTTTTTACATGACGTCACATTCGCCATGTTGGTTAAAGCGGCGACCATGGTGGTCCAAATCAGTCTGAACACTTTCTTTAATAGCAATAAATTTGCATAGCTACTGGCCACGCGCGTGAAAATGCTCTTTTTGTTCCGGCTGCAATTTTTTATTTGTTAAAACTGAAACAGGGAAAAATTCCAACGGGCAAATGCGGCGGCGATACGCGTTCGTTGATGTCGACGTCGCCATCAGAGGCTGTTCTTCACAGGCGATAGTGCATGCTGCTCAGTCTGCCATGTTTTTGCTCTCCCTTCAAACAGTCCCTTTACCCTTCGCGCTAGTAAGTCGCACCAGTTCCCCGCTGGTTTAGAACATAACCAGTTACCTTGCTCACAAGCAGTTGAAATTAATTCGCAAGACAACAACCCTGCATGTGCCGGCAGAGACAATTTTTCGTACATTTCTTTGCTACCACTGTACGACTACGGCGTGGAATTGCCTGATTTGACTTTTTGTAGAGAACTTAATTTTTATATATATATCTCTCTCTGAACTTGGACATGGTCCTTAGGAGTTCTACTCCAAGAGGGGTCGCCTACTTTGGACAAAGCAAGGTGGAGTAATTGTAATGAAGCTTCAAAGAACTCGAATTCACACCTTGGCATTTAAGTCATACAAAACAATCTGAGCGAATTGGTTATGGATTATGAACCATTTTTAGACTATTACAGGATTTGACTGACCACGAAGAGTAACAAAATAAAAATAAACTAAGCCCTCCGATGAATTCTGTACTAGTATGTTTATTTACTTGAAGAGGAACGATGACAAGTTTTCCAAGCGACAAGAACACGGTGACAAATAAAATCTGAAAACCATCCAATCTGATAAACTTGTTACGTGTTTCTGATTCAGAACCTTAGCCTACTCAAAATGAACTAGAGCGTTTCGTGCCAGAATTATTTCCCCCTCGAAATTTTCTTGGTTCTTAAACAAAGATCATGAAAATATTTAACAAATCATGTATGGGAAATCTAAGATCAATCTCATATAATAACTTTAACAAAAGTCCAGCTTCTTCTTGTTTTCCTGAAAGACGCACTATAAATAACAACACATCATCGAACTCTCTTCTTATTGGCGTTTCTGGGGAAAAATTAAGAAAAGATTAAGAAACTAGAATCACGAACTCTTTCCCATCAAAGTTGTCTTGAAAAGTATGTTCCTACTTGAATTTGATACAGGAATTCAAACGCTTTGTCCAGTGGATTGAAAGCAATTTTGATGTGCTTCTCAGGGTCATCGGCGTTCTCTAATTATTCCATAGAAACCAAACTAAACGTATCAACTAAACAAAAATTTCAAACACGAATAGGATTGTTGAAAGCCCAAGAGCTACTTGACGAAAAGAATAGTTTTCGACCTTTGATTCACAGCGCAAGCCATTTCCACTTAACCCAAGCCGCCTCGATAGTGTTGTTCAATTTATTCTGATCTTATCGTGGTCAAAACTAGGCTCGTTGATTGTTGACACATGACACTTAGACCACCTGTGACTTCAAACACTAGCTTGCCGCTTGAGACCCTGTCATCTGCGAAAACAGGTCAACCGCGGGAGCTAAGCACCGGTAAACAGCAAGTATACAACCAGCGAGAGCACTGCTATCCCGCGCGCTGTTTTACTGGAAACAATTATATTCAATAGCTCAAGTTAACCNAGCTTCTTCTTGTTTTCCTGAAAGACGCACTATAAATAACAACACATCATCGAACTCTCTTCTTATTGGCGTTTCTGGGGAAAAATTAAGAAAAGATTAAGAAACTAGAATCACGAACTCTTTCCCATCAAAGTTGTCTTGAAAAGTATGTTCCTACTTGAATTTGATACAGGAATTCAAACGCTTTGTCCAGTGGATTGAAAGCAATTTTGATGTGCTTCTCAGGGTCATCGGCGTTCTCTAATTATTCCATAGAAACCAAACTAAACGTATCAACTAAACAAAAATTTCAAACACGAATAGGATTGTTGAAAGCCCAAGAGCTACTTGACGAAAAGAATAGTTTTCGACCTTTGATTCACAGCGCAAGCCATTTCCACTTAACCCAAGCCGCCTCGATAGTGTTGTTCAATTTATTCTGATCTTATCGTGGTCAAAACTAGGCTCGTTGATTGTTGACACATGACACTTAGACCACCTGTGACTTCAAACACTAGCTTGCCGCTTGAGACCCTGTCATCTGCGAAAACAGGTCAACCGCGGGAGCTAAGCACCGGTAAACAGCAAGTATACAACCAGCGAGAGCACTGCTATCCCGCGCGCTGTTTTACTGGAAACAATTATATTCAATAGCTCAAGTTAACCGGATTTCGGATGGTAAAACATTGGTAATCGTCGTCGACAAACCAGCGATGTTTTGCAAAGATTAGAATCGTGAAAGAGGTTTTAAATTGGGCGCATGACGCTAACTGCAAGAGATTCAAGCCTATTACCTAACCCGGCGACCCAGTGTGACGTAATTGTTGACTAATTCAGTCTGTCACTGGAAAGTCGTCTTCGATTTCTCCAAACAGCTAGCGGAGTAACATAAACAAGACTTGTTCCCCGTTTAAGTTTCGTCCAGGGTTCGGAGATTTCGACCAATTTTCGCCTTTTCACCCCAAAGTACTATTGTTGCTGTTTTGCCTGAAATCATTTCTTAAATTTCCGAAGCGCGCGGATATATTTTAAAAGAGACTCAAGCACCGCGCTTGCGCATGCTCAGTCCTTGAGTTCGTTAACGCGTTTGATGATGGAGCTGTTTGAAGAGTGGTAAGAGAGACGCGAATGGAGCGCAAGCTTATCACCTGATCACGTCATTTGAGGCAAGGAGGAGAGCGGAGCTCCTCGAAATACTTGCCATTCAGCTAGATGAGCAGTAAAGTTGGTCTGAGGCAAGAAAAGCGGACGCTACTGTGATATGCCCAAATCCTTCCTTGTGAAAAAAACCTCTCGCACCAAGAGGAGACTCGAAGAGGAGGAAGCAAGCGACGGTGAGTGCCTTTCCGCATTGCAATAAACCTTGCAGCTGACAAACTTGTCAAAGGTCATCCGGCCAATTTGCCCAGCTTTAGAACACTTAAACTTCAGATTTTATTTTGACCCCACTGCATGTGTACCATATGCAATTTCCAACAATTTTACTCAATCTTATTAAATTAATTTAATTAATTCTTCGTTTGAGAAAAAGTCCCGCAGTTTTTTGGGTCAGCGCTTTTCTCGTGCCTTAAAGAGGTTTGTTTAATGGAATTGTCTTGAAGTTGACAAGAGTCTTCTTGATTTTTTTTTTTCTATTTTTTGTAATAAACGTTGTCTAGTAAATTTGTTCTTCAGTTTTCTCTTCCAGTGCAATTTTCCTCCTCTCATTACTTCAGTGGGAGAGTATGCAAAAGTGTAATCACACACAAACATGAATAATTCACCTTTGCCGTTGCTCTTCAAGCGGAACTGTTGGACTTGGGTCGTCTTTTCAGTTTCATTCCTGGAAATAATTTTAAGGAAATTCTTCTTATTTTTAATCAGATAATGAAGAAGTTTCAGACATCAACGAGGAAGGAGCACAAGATACAAATCTTGAATCGCACGCCACCGGTATGTTTACAAGTTTTGTTGACACTTTTACCTGTAGGACCCTAGACTTTAAAATGGCGATCACAGCTAAAAGTCATGAAAGAAGGAGCCCGTTCGATTGAAAAATAGACCCTTTACTTAAAATAAAATCAAAGTTCAAACGTTAGAAGTGAGGATTAATTTTTGTGTAACGAACATTTCAAAGTCAATTCGTTTTGCTTAATTGCATGCCATTAAGACTTTCACCCAATGGCTCGACAGTTTCGCCAGGTAAAACATGACTATAGTGTTTTAACCTTGGTTGGAGCAAATGAATGTTAGTTTTATTGCTAGAATGTGATTTCTACGCACAGAATAGTTGGTTAATGTTATAACCTTTATGGAAGACTGATAACGTTAAAATAGTTAAGACTTAGAAAGGGCCTGTGTCCGCTGTTTGGGAGTCAACAAGCATAACGTTAAACATTTGAAATTCTGCGACGACAACGCTTTACAAGGTTGAAAAGTGAACTATTGTCGGAAGTATACCTTCAACGGAAATAACAGATCTGTCTCAAAAATGGGGCAAGTTTTTATTTATTAGCTGAGGAAAATTTGCTCGGTAGAAGGAATAACGTAATTAAAGTTACGCTACCGAGATTTGAAGTAGATTCAACGAGTCAAGTGTTTTAAAGTAAAACAAACACTCTACCTTTCCAAAGCGTGAAGCATAAAGAAACATTTGGTTCGTCAGATTTTAATTAAAAAGATAAAAGAACGCTAACACGAGCTGCAAATACAACTAAAAATGTTTTCTTTAAGCTTAACTCGCGGATTCAAAGACTAGAATGACCGTGTACAGCAAAATCAGGGATAGTGCCACAGAAACTGCTAATGCCTCTTTCTTGTTACTGCTTAACAGCTTTTTCAGAAACCAACCTGCAACAGTGATTGGTTTTCAATCACTGTCTCAATTTAGTTAATACGATTATATAATTGTAGTCCTGGTGAGGTTTTATTTACAGTGTCAATAGTTCATACTGGCGCCCTTTCAAAGTCTGGTACAACTCGCCTTGCTAACAAATTTTCTAATTTCGCGCCATTTTCTCCTTAATAAGGCTTTGTAAATTCAGTGGTTTTTGTTTAGAAACTACATTAAAGCCTATCCAAAACACTGAATTGTAGGTCTAGTATGAAGCTGTTGAAAAAAGTTGGATTAACAACCAATCATTGTGGAAGAGTTATTTTTTTTCTCACTATGCACAGTACAATCAAAAGTTCCTCTGCATGTAAGAATTTAGTCTACATTTTTTATAAGTCGCAGTCAGTAAATAAATTTTGAAAAACGTTGGAAAACGCCAACTGAAAAACAAAAGCTACTTCACAAATGAAAATACCTTGGATCACGTCATGACACGCTAACTGAAACACTCCAAGGGTAAAGCTTGAGATAACATAACACTAGCAATGGTGTAATAAGTTTTTTATACCTAGCAATTGAGAAAAAAACAAACAACCAAATATATAATTTTACGAACATTTTCAGCGGTTTTCCATTCCGAAACAAACTACTATCAGCATCGGACAAAATTTGAATTACCGTGGTGCTTGCGTTGATGTTAGACTTGGCCACTTTCTTGTATCCTGAATCCTTACTTGCAAAATCCTTGTCAGCTGTGAATCTAAAGTTTGATTTTTTCATGTAACACAAGGATTAATTAACAGGCTTTTTTAACCCGGATATACCCGAGTACAGGATAGTATCTGCCGACCAATTTCGTATCTGTCAGAAGCTTTCAGCGCAGTTTTTTGGGACATTCAGCTTTCAAAGCTGCCTGATACTTGACTCTCAATTGTTTCATTGTTTAATCACCAAAGTTTAGCTCAAAAGAGTTGTCATCTCTCAGCAGTAATTTTTTTTACTGGGCTTTGGTTAAAACAAGTGGATATGAGCCAAAAATAATCATATGACCTTATCATCTCAGCCATGGACACATATAAATGTAAGATATCAAGTTAAGCCGAGATTTCCAAGTTGGGTTTCTTGAAAATGATTTTTTAAAAGATTTAATTGTTTTTTTCAGGTGATGTGGCGATTCAGTGTAACTTGGAAAACTCACATACACTGCGCGTCAGCACTGGTGGGAACGAAGCGGCTACTTTTCCCGCGCTTGACACACGCGGACTGCATACGCTTGCGGAACTGTGCTTACGACGCGCCGACTACGAGTTTTGTACACAGACAAGCAAGATAGACAAAAGAGACAACGAAGTAAACAAGCATGAAAGCTTTAGGGAGCCTTACGATAAATTGCATGACCCTAGGTTTAAAAGGCGAGTTAGCGATAGTTTTGCCAATGTAAAGAGAGAGCGAGTAAACTTTGAGGCTAAAGAAAGTGCCGAGGAAAAGTGTGAAGATCTGAAAGAAAGAAAAAAGCAAGCGGTGAAACGTGCTAGCAATGTTTCGGATGATAACGGCTCAACAAGACTCCATAAACTTGAAGAAGAACTAGAGAAGATGTTACAGTAAGTTTTCTTTCATGTTTTTCTTCTGGTCACTAATTATTTGATTTCAGCAGGTTAATTTTCAGTGGCTTTATCAGCAGGGAGAAAATATTCTTTTTTGTTAACTGGTTAATACAAAAAAAGGAGTTTAATTAGCATTGTCAGCCAATCAAGAAGAGTATTTAAGGTATTTATCCGAGTAAGCGCCTGGGCGCTTATTTAAATTACCTTTTAAA